CGCTGGCCTGCCATTTCCTGCCCGGGCGGAAACGAGGGCTGGAGCCAGATTCTGATCTAAACCTCCTGGCTGGCCAAGTCAGGGTTCCCCCTTCTGGGATGCATGCAGGGCCCTTGTCTCACAGGTGAGTCTCTCCAGTGCTGACCTTGCAGGCCCAGCATCGGGCCATCAAGGGTAAGGGACCAGATCCCTGGGTCCAGTCCATCTGAACGCCAGCATGAGCTCTGCAGAGCGGTCCCAGTGCGGGCGGGAAAGACCTGCTCTCAGTGGTGAGAGCATTGCTGGCTTAGCTTGCTTGCTTGCTTGCTTGTTCACTTTCTCTCCTCTCCCATCTCCTCCTCTTTTCTTCTCTCTCTCCTCTCCCACCCTCCACCCTCCCAACAAGGTCTCACTATGTATTTTAGGCTGGCTTTGAACACATCAACCTCCCAAGTGCAGGGATTACAGGCCTGAAACATGCTTGTTTGCCAGCTAGTTTCTTTTTTTCTTTTCTTTTTTCTTCTCTTTTTGGCCAGTCATGGGGCTTGAACTCTGGGCCTGGGCGCTGTCTCTAGCTCTTCAGCTCAAGGCTAGTTCTCTACCACTTTGAGCCACTGCACCATTTCTCCTAGCTAGATTCTTGAACAAAAATTGTAATTGAAACTGTATCCATTATAGTCATTTTTGTTGTTGTTGTTTAATGCCAGTCCTGCGGCTTGAACTCAGGGCCTGGGCACTGTCCCTGAACTCTTTTGCTCAAGACCAGTACTCTATTACTTGAACCACAGCTCCACTTCCAGCTTTTGGTTGTTAATTGGACATAAGATTCTCATGGACTTTCTGCCCAAGCTGGCTTCAAACCACAAGGTCTCACTCAGCCTTTTGAGTAGCTAGGATTATAGGTGTGAGCCACTAGCACCTGGCTCCTCCATATTCTTTTTTCTTTTTCTTTTTGGTCAGTCATGGGGGCTTGAACTCTGGGCCTGGGCACTGGCCCTCAGCTCCTCAGCTCAAGGTAGTGTTCTACCGCTTGAACCACACCACCACTTCCGGTTTTCTGGTGGTTTATTGGAGATAAGAGTCTCACAGACATTCCTGCCAGGGCTGGCTTTGGACTGGGATCGTCAGATCTCAGCCTCCTTAGCTAGGGTTACAGGTGTAAGCCACCAGCGCCTGGCTGTCCATATTCTTTTAAGATACAACCTCAGAGAATTTTGTTTTAACTCTTTTCTCTCCTTCCTCCTTCCTTCCCTCTCTCCTGCCCTCCCTCCCTCCTTTTCTTCCTTCCTCTCTCCCTTTCCGCCTTTCTTTGGAATATGGGATTTGAACTCAAGAACTCATGCTGGGAAAACCACTAAGCTCTGCTTCCAGCCCTTTTTGCGAAGGTAATTTTTTTGTGTAGACTCAAATTCTTTCCCTAGGGCTGGCTTGGACCTCGACCCTTATCTGTAGCCTCTCAGTGCGCTAGGTGATAGATGTGTACCACAACACCCAGCTCATTGGCTGAGATGGGGTCTCCCTAACTTTTTGCCACAGCAGCAATCCTGAGTAGCCGAGATGACAGGTGTGAGCCACCCTCCACACTCCGGTATCAGCGTCCCCGTCATAACTCGGCTCTGGCTTGCTTGGCCCTGCTGTACTGGCTGGGGCTCAGGGTACTAGCGGAGCCTGAACCGCATCGTCCTGCGGGCAGGGTAGAGACTTAAAAGTGCTGAATGGAGGGACAGGAAAATGCAGACATGCTTCAGTGCAAAGGTGCATTTCCTGCGCCCCAGGTTAAAGGGCTTGTCAGTGAGGGATCTGGTCAGGAAATCTGGACTGGAGGGACCACATTTTCCCATTCCCCCCCATCTGATGATATCCGGCCCTTCCTGTCCTACAGCTTTGCAAATGGTGCACTCTGGATTTTCTCATTGATTGATTGATTGATTGTGTATGTGTGTGTGTGTGTGTGTGTGAGAGAGAGAGAGAGAGAGAGAGAGAGAGAGAGGGAGAGAGAGCGAGTTCATAGTTGGATCAGGTACTAGGTGGCTCTTGTGCTTACTTCAGGTACACAATTCTGATAGATTTATTTCATGGTCTGTTCTTCTCAGAGCAAAGAAAGCTGGAAGAGATATGTTTGATTCAGGGAAAAAAGCAAACCTTACACACAGAGTGGCATGGGAGAGGGGTAGACCTCAGGGCATGAGCCGCTGGTCCCTGGTGGAGTGACTTATTTTCTGTTGCATTATGGGTTTGGATCATTTCTGCCCACCGTGTGTGGCGCATCTGGGAGGGTAGCTGTGCCGGGCTTCCCCGGCTCCCGGCACGGGGGTGACGGAGTCTGCGGGGCTGGCTGTGGAGCCCCAGAGGCCAGGGAACAGTGGAATTGTGCAGACCCTGGGACCTGCAGGCGTCTTCCACTTCACTCAGCCAGCATTAGCTAGTCTCATCACATGCCTCCTTCTTTCTCCTAGTAGGCTCAGCCAAGTGACACTAAGGCCTCCAAGCGCAGGGGCTGGGTCTGCTCCCAGGCCATCACAAAGTCCCAGTACCCAGTTATCTCCTGTGGGAAACGAGGTGATGTAGCTGTCCTAGACCCTGCCAAGTACCCGCTCCAGCAAGTGTGTGTGTGTGACTCAGTAGTTAGCAGCCAGTTAAAGGGATGGGCAAATCAAACCACTCAAGGCCTTGGGACCCACCCTAGGTCTGCCAAGTCAGTGTTGCAATTGGGGAGGGTGAGTTGGGGGCAGCTGTCAGCAACTACACCTCAGGACCTTTCCTTTCTTCCCTTCCTCCCTCCCTCCCTCTCTCCCTCCCTCCCTCCCTCCCTTTTTAAACTTGGCAGTACTAGGGTTTGAACCCAGGGCCTTTGCACTTTGCTAGCCACACCTCCACCCTCCCTGGACCTTCTTTATCACATTACAAGTCTTGCCCTCTCCAAAAGTGTAATGCGCATTGCCATTTGCGCCACAGTGTTAAGGTTAAAAGGCACGGTTAGGAAATGAACAAACACATGTTGCCCACTGTGATCGAAGACAGGGCTTAGCAAGGGCAGAGTAAGCAACGGTGTCCAGATCCCCAGTGCCGCCTGTGTTTCGTTGCGAGATGACCTGAGGCTGGGCTGGAAGTGCTGCTTAGCAGACTGCGGCTTGACGCACTCGCACTCGCTCCCCAGAGGAGGCTTGGTGGCGCAGTGCGGGGGGGGGGGGGATCATCCACCCTTCCTCACTGACAGGCTGGGGTGGCCGAGGCGCTGGCCTGGGTCACAAGCTCCCCGCCTGCCCGTCCAGGCTCCACACTGGACCCATCCCCAGCCAGATCAGGGTTTGGAAACAGCTGGCTACTGGCACCTCCCCTCGGCAGGCTGTGTCCCGGGGTTCGGGTTCCTCCTGCGGCTGCTCCTGCACTGACCTTGTGGCGTTGCCTTCCCTCTGGCCGGGGCCATTGCCAGTTAAGAAAGAAACAGTTGAAGCCCAAGGACTTTCACTCAAAAGACAGAAAGCAGTAGAGTAGGCCTGAGGGGTGTGTATTTAGAGAAGGTTGAAGATGCAGGAGGAGGGGGCGGGCTGGAGGCGCCCCCCCACACCCCCGCATAGGAGGCCGATAGGAGCCTTTTATACATCTGTATCTCTTTAAAACTCCATCTGTGTGAGCACAATACCCCAAGATGGCCATTGCTTCTCTCTCTTTCTCTCCCCTCCCTCCCCCCTCCCTCTCCCTCCGCTTCCCTTCTTCTCCCTCCTTCTCCCTCCCTTTCCCTCCCCCCCCCCATGGAACCCAGTATTCTTGTGTGTCAGGCAAGTGCTCCACCACTGAGCCACACAACCAGCCTAGAGTTGGTTTTTTTTGTGTGTGTGTATGTCGGTCGTGGGGCCTGAACTCTGGGCCTGGGCGCTGTCCCTCAGCTCTTCAGCTCAAGGCTAGCGCTCTACCACTTGAGCCATAGCGCCACTTCTGGCTTTTTTCTGCTTCTGTGGTGCTGAGGAATTGAACCCAGGGCCTCATGCATGGGAGGCAAGTGCTCTACCACTGAGCCACCTTCCTAGCCCAGACCAGCGTTTTTGTTTTGCTTTTTTTTGGCAGTACTAGGGATTGAATTCAGAGCCTCGCACTTGCTAAGCAGGTGCTCTACTACTTGAGTTACCCCACTAGCCCCTTTTTATGTAGTTTCTTTTCTTTTTTTTTTTTTTTTTTTCGGTCATGGGGCTTGAACTCTGGGCCTGGGCGCTGTCCCTCAGCTCTTCAGCTCAAGGCGAGCGCTCTACCACTTGAGCTACAGCGCCACTTCTATGTAGTTTATTTTCAAGGTGGGGGGTCTCCCTTCTTGTCCAGGCTGGCCGGTACTACTGTCCTTCCCTTTGTCACTGGGATGATAGGCCTGTGCTATTGTGCCTAGTCATTGGTTGCTATGGAGTCTTAGAAACTTGTATGCCTAGACTGGCCTTGAACCACAATCGCCTGATCCCTGCCTGTCCAGTAGCCAGGATTACTGGCTGCAGCCATGCCCCACGCCCGAAGTTAGTTCCTAATCCTTGTGCTAGAGCCCTTTGTTAGCATGCTTATGTTGGCAGAGGCCATTAGACTGGGGAAAAAGCCAAATGAGGGCTGAAGAGGCGGTAGGTACTCCCCCCAGTCCCAGCCATGGTCTACAGGCCTGGGAACAGCCCAGAGCTGGGCGGGGCTTCCCCTGCCGACCCTGGGGACCTGTGCTCCCCTGGGGAACAGGCAGTGTTTGTACAGCCTCTCCTTCCGGCCCTGTCTGGTGGCTTGTGTCACCTAGTTCCCAGCAGCCACCATGTGGCCTGTGGCTTTGTTTGCCTCCCTCCCACTGCCTGCCTGGCACAGAGGCCTGGTTGTAGGAAGGAGGGGCCGTGTAGCGTGGGGCAGTGCAGCCTGGCGCCGTACGGCGCGGCGCGGCGCATTTATTCCCAAGAACGATGGCCGTTTCTCGCCAGGCAGGAAATGTTTGCCGCCCTAGACACAGGTTTGCTTCTGGGTCACAGCCGCGAGTCTTATCCTTCCTCGTTCCGTCACCCCAGGCTCCCAGGCGCTTGCAAGATGCTCACAGTGGCTGTGTGCCTGGCGCTGCTGGGCTGCCTGCAGGCCCAGGAGCTCCGTGGACATGTGTCCATAATCCTGCTGGGAGCCACCGGGGACCTGGCAAAGAAGTACTTGTGGCAGGGACTCTTCCAGCTGTACCTGGACGAGGCAGGGAACGGCCACCATTTTAGCTTCCACGGGGCCGCTCTAACGCCTCCCCAACAGGGCCAGGAGCTCATGGCCAAGGCCCTGGAGACTCTCTCCTGCCCCAAGGACACCATGCCCAGCCACTGCGCTGAACTCAAGGAGCAGTTCCTGCAGCTAAGCCAGTACCACCAACTGAGGACGGCTGAGGACTACCAGGCTCTGAGCAGACATATCGAGGCCCATGTCCAGCAGGAGGGCCTCCAGGAGGCTGGCAGGATCTTCTACTTCTCAGTGCCTGCCTTCGCCTATGCCGACATTGCCCGCCACATTAATAGCAGCTGCCGGCCAGCCCCTGGCGCCTGGCTGCGGGTTGTCCTCGAGAAACCCTTCGGCCACGACTACCACTCAGCCCAGCAACTGGCCACGGAACTCGGGAGCTTTTTCCAAGAGGAGGAGATGTTCCGAGTGGACCATTACCTGGGCAAGCAGGTGAGCCACCAGGGCTGCCAAGGAACTCCGCAGGCACAAAATGTGGAAAGAGGCCCAAGGGCACTGGAGCTTGAGCCCCCAGGTCTCCCTGCAGGGCCCGAGGATATTAGGGGGCAGCAGGCAGGACTGCCTTGCTTGTCTCAGTGTCCCCAATCCTGGTGTTTGTATAGGCCCATCCTTGGGGCTTCCCAGACGGGGTCTGGGCTTTGGCTCTGCCCCATCACCCTGCTTTTCCACAGAGTGACCCAGCTGGGGATCTGTGGGGGACACTGTAGGAATTAGATTGGCGTTCTAACTTTATACCCGTATGTCTCTTCCCAGCAATTCCTGCTTCCTGAGTTCTCTTTGGGCTGAAGACGAGTAACAAGATCTTAACACTGATAGGGGCTGTGAACCCCTAAGCCCTGATGAAGGATCTTGTGGGGTGCATGTCAGCAGCCAGTTCGCTGCACAAGCCTCAAACCTTGAGGAGGTGCATCCAGGCCCTGCCACCCCAGCCCAGAGCACAGCACACCTGCCCCCTAGGTGCTGAGTGCCAGGTTGTTACCTGGCAAAGGCTTCAGTCTCCAGCCCATGCAGTTGCCAGAGTACCAGTCCCAAATAGTGGTCCCTGATCAGGTCAGGTACTGTTGAGAATTTTACTCACTGCAAAATCAGAAGATATGCTGAATGTATTCACTTTAAATCTTTTAAAAATTTATTATTACATTTTTGTGGTACTGAGGAATTGAACCCCAGGCTTTGTGTATGCTAGGCAAGCACTCTAGAATGACTGCCTAGCAAACGTAAGGACCTGAGTTCAAACTCCAGTGTCACCCAAAACAAAAAAAAAAAGGTGTTGAAATTTCAGAAGTCTTTAATAGGCTATGAAACCCAAGACCCCAAACTATTGCCCATGGAGTATCTGCTCCCCCGATTGGAGAATAGGGATGCTTTGAACACTTGAAACAGAGCCACCTTCTTCCTCTAGAGAAGCATCCACGTCCAGTCTTCCTTCCTCACAGGCCGTGGCTCAGATTCTGCCCTTCCGGGACCAGAACCGCCAGGCCTTGGATGGCCTCTGGAACCGGCACCACGTGGAACGGGTGGAGATCATCATGAAGGAGACGGTGGATGCGGAAGGTGTGTGTATGTAGCTGTGGGCCCTGCACTTGGAGGCCATGCTAGCCTGTGTCTGGCTGGCTGGAGGTCTGAGCAGCACCCTGGCCCTGTGTGTGGCCCGCAGGGCTCAGAGGGAGGCTTTCTGCCTCTATGGTTCCCTGGGGCCTGCTGGGAGCCTAGCTCTGCAGGGGCCAGCTGCCTGTGCCATACACGGCACAGACCCTGGGAACAGCTGGCAAGGGGTAAGGGCTGGAAGCTTCCCTGGGATTTACCAGTGTGGTGGAGATCACCAGAGCTGTGTGAGGGCTTTGCACACTCCAGAGCTTGTGCAAGCAGGGCCCTTCCTTCTCACCCTGTACCGGGGAGGGGTGGGGAAGTGGGGGGGAGGGGGCTGGTACTAGCTCCATTGCTCTTTCTCCTGAGGGTGTGGGGGGGTGCCTGAGGCTTGTGAGGCCCACTTCCTGTTGCATGCACCCTCTCCTGGCCTTCTCCACCCCTGCTCTCTGGGCTGTCCCTGTACTTGTCACACGGTGTGTGGGATCTGACTGTAGACCCAGAAAGCTCCCCCCTCGGAGTGCTGAATAAATGCCTGTGAGCAGGCATGTGAGCGGGGGTTAGGAGACCCGTCTCTGCCTCCAGCTCATCAGCGCATCCCCACAACCCGTCACTGCCGCATCTGCAGGCACACAGGTCTGGAGGCGATGACGGCTGAGGCCCCTTTGAGCTCTGGCGCTCTGGGTGCTATTACATTTTCTGGCACCCAGTCTGTTTCAAGCAGTTCTTACCCAGCCATAATGCATGTTGACCTGGATGGTGTCCTTAGCGACCCCTCCTGGCTGCCATGTGATAGGGGACAGCTACCCGCCCCCTTACAGATGAGCTTTGGTGACTTGTCCAGGGCTTGGGGTGGAGGGTGGGAGGCGGTCTGGGGGACAGCAGTGTAGCTCCAGCTCCTAGGCGTGGCAGGTGTGCATGGCAGGCCAGTTGTGTCCACATCCAGCCCCGTCCTGTACCCACTTCGTGCAGCTGCAGGGAGTTCCCAAGGCCAGAGAAAGGGCAGGCCACACATTAGACCAGGAGAGTGTGCATGTGTGTGTGAGTGTGTGGCCAGAAGCTCTGCCTTTTTTTCTCTCCACTTGTCCTTTCTCCTTGCCATTTCTCTTCCTTTTTCCCCTAGTTACTCTTAGGCTTTCCCTGCTTTCCTCTCTGAATGGGTATGTAGCATTGCAAGCTTTGTGTGGGCTGTGGGGTTGCAGATGAAGATTAATGGAGAAGGTTACAAATGCTCCCCCCGCCCTGGTGTGTGTGTGTGGGGGGGGCAGGTGAGCAGCAGAGGCCAGGCTTTGAAGGGCAACTCTCAAAAGGCTCTGGGCTTCTCCCCTCTGGGGCCCATAGCAGAGTTCTGGCCCCTGGCCGTGACTGTTCGCAGGTCTCTGGAAGTCCTCCTGAGTCCTCCAGAAATCCCCTTCGGGCTCTGCAGGGGCTCAGCTGTGGGTGGTCTGGACCTGAGGGGTCCAAGGCCCCAGTGGCACCGTGTCCTCCCTCAGCCTTTGTCTCCCTCTGCAGAGCTGAGCAGCTGGTTTGGCCCTGAGAGTGTGGAGTGGGCAGGCAGCCAAGGCTCCTCTCTTCCTGAGGGCTCCAGCCGCCAGAACTGGTCCTCTGCCTGTTTCGCGGCTGCACTGCTGGGGCTGGGTCTCCCTGGACAGGCTCAGAAGTGGCAGGACAAGCCCAGGTTCTTTCTCTTCATGCGTGTGTGTACCAGGAGAGAACCCTGCGGAGCCTGTGCCAGCGCTGTGACCCGCACACCTCCCCTCTTCCTGATCCTGCTTTGGACTCTGTAGTCCAAGCTGGAGAGAGGGCAGGCACTGTCCCCCCCCCCCATTCCCCCACCACCACAGGGCTGAGGCTGCTGCCATGTGGGTAGTGGGGTGGCGAGCAGACAGGAGGCCAAGATGGTATCCTACCAGAGTTCGGTGGGCTTAGCAGACAAATGAATGTTTCCAAGGCAGAAGGACCAAGGGCACAGGCTATGGCTCAGACCCCAGCCCCACCCCTGCTAAGCTGGGCTAGACCCCACTTCTCCTGGCAAGTGTGCAGCAGCTGCCCGCCCCCTGCCGCCAGTCTGGACCATAGCCTGTGTGCTGCGAGCCAGACTAGGGTGCTGAGCTTTCCTGGCCTGGTGTGGACAGAGCCTTGGGCCAGGGTTTTGAGCTGCAAGGTCGTTTGATGTTTGTCCTCACCCAAATGGCAGCATCCCGTGCCAACCTGGTGGTCTCACCTGCTGCTCCCCTCAAGGGTCCCAGCGTGGAGTCAGAGATGCCCGGGGCTCTGGCAGCAGCGTGGCCAGAGTGATGCAGGCCAGGTCAGCGGCCGCTGTGTGGCAGTGGCTGCGGAGTGGCTCTCATCAACCCCAGGAAGTGCTCAGTAGACAGGAGCGGCCAGGTCTTTCAGGAGGCGGGACTGGGATTTGAACCACAGCGTGTGGCTCCTTAGAACCGGAACCTGTGACCACTGTACGCCTGGTCTCCCAGTTGCCCAGGGCCTCCGCAGTTGGCCTGCCTGGCAGGGGGCTCTCAGGGGCACACTGTGGCCCTCGTTTTCCCTCTGCACAGAGGCTTGGACCGGGGAAGGAAGAGGACTTCCATTGGGAGAGGGTCCTCATCCCGACACTGGGGGAAGAGCACAGTGCGGGTTAGAGTGGACATCGGTGCCCCGCACCGAGGGACTGACGTAGCCAGGTCCTCTGAGGTAGCGCCAGCTGTCCAGCCGCCCACCTGAGTGCCAGGAGGCGTCGGGAGCTCACTCAGCAGGGCCAGCGCCCCTCCCGTGCCATCTGCTGAGCTGTCTGCAGGGTGAGTCCAGGGCAGTTGCAGCTTCCTTTCGAGGGGGGCGGGGAGAGAACCAGCCAGCAGCTAGCCTGCCTCGCCCTCGCCCTCACCTTCCTTATTTGTAGTGATCCCAGAAGATATGGACAGGCGCTGCAGCTGGCTTTTGTTGCTCTTATTTTTGTAAAGAGTCTGTTTCTCCTGGGGGAGCTTGGGTCTCCTCCAGTGTGGAAGCTGTGAGAATGGGGTTCCTGGTCCCCTTCCGAAGGTGGCCGTCCTCGGCCTGGCCTCTCTTCAATGCCCAGACCTTGATCCCTCGCTTAGGTAGAAGGGTAAAGTCAGATAATGTCCATCAAATACATTACCAATGGCAAGGCCCTGCTTCTTAGGAGTTTGCGAGGAGAGGTGGCAGCGATCATCCAACAGTCTGTGTCCCCTGTGACTCAGGTTGCTTTATTATACAAAGACCTGTGATTAGTCTGTAGCATTGCGTTATATCCGTTCTTACCTGACATCTCTCTGTCTCTCTTGCACTTGAGTATTTGCATATTCCAATCTGCATGTATTTGCATTTTGCATAGTATATCTTGTTGTGGCTCTCTGTTTTCATTCAGTTCTGTTTCTATCACAGAATGTGTGGTAGACATTCTATAGTTAGGCATTTTGATTGTTTCTAGTTTTTGCATTTCTAACAGTACTTTCCAAGGTGCTTTTTTATTTTCTGGTCTCATTGTAAATATTTTGTAATTGTTATTATAAAGGTGATATACAGTGCCAAGATTAAAAAAATAAAAACGAGATACAATTCATACTCAATATAATTCACCCTCTTAAAGTACACAGCTCTGTGGATTTTAGTATATTGCCAAGTTGCACAACTGCTGTGTAATGCCAGGACATTTGTGAGCATTTCTCAGTGTGCTCAGTAAGCCAAAGCTATGCACTTCCTGTCCCGTGGGCTCACGCTGGGCTCCTGAGGACAGGGCGCTGCCTGCCTGCCTGCGCTCTGTGATCCCCTGACCTTGGGCACAGTCTGGACTGGCACACACAGGAGCCAGGTTTATGGATGTCTTCCTTCTCGTTGTAGCTTTCTGCTCTTTTCCAGTACTCGTAGGTTTTAGGAAAGGATATGGGAGTGAGTGTAGGTCATTTTCAGGAAAAAAAAAATCAATGGTGGTAACCAGCAGTTCCTAAAACAAATCAGCATATTGGGAACCATTAGTGCCAGCCTCCAGCTCTCTACCCTCCTGCTTGACTGCTGCAGGGTTCATGCGCCAGGCCAGCCCTGGGCCTGTACTCACACCCACAAAGGCAGAGCTGGCCGGGATGGAGCAGAGCCGCAGGCCGAGCTAAATGTGGCTGCACCCCCAGAACTTGAAATGGAGTGAAGGAAGCTCTCTTCTTCCCAGCAGGTAGTAAGCTCGTGACAGGAATTCTCCCTGAGAACCAAGAATCCACTGGATAAAAATAGGACAAGGGCCTCTTAGGGATTTGCTAATGTAATGAATGGTAAGCAGATAACAGGGCATTTAAGGCTGCTGGTGCATTGTCTCCATCAAACTTTGGTTTGTTCTTCAGGCTCGAACTGGTGTCCTTCTGCCCAAATATGGTGTCACCAATTCTTCTGATGTTTTTACATTTGCACATCCCTGAGGTTGAGCATGCTGTGGGGGGAGGGATGGGTAAACTGGTAGCCATTCCTCTCAGTGATCAGCCATGCACTTGCCATCTGTGCGGTTTCAGCTTTGATGAAATGCAGCTCACTACTAGCCTTCATGGCCTATGGCCTTCTCTGGCCCACAGTGGCACCTTGAATGGTCTTTTTTTTTTTTTTTTTGTCAGTCATGGGGCTTGAACTCTGGGCCTGCACGTTGTCCCTCAGCTCTTCAGCTCAAGGTGAGCGCTCTACCACTTTGAACCACAGTGCCACTTCCAGTTTTCTAATGGTTCATTGGAGATAATAGTCTCCCAGACTTTCCTGCCCAGGTTGTCTTTGAACCTTGATCCTCAGATCTCAGCCTTCTGAGTAGCTAGGATTACAGGTGTGAGCCACTGGCCCCTGGTTTATATTAACTCTTTTAATCCCTAAAACATCCCTGTTGGGGTGCCAACATGATTCTTCTGCCCCCTCCCCTTTTTAAACACTATGTGTCAGCATTATTCACTTGAGATCACCGGGCCAAAGTTGGCAGAGCAGGTGTTTGAACCCTGGTCCTGGGACCATACTGGGATCACGAGTCTGGACTGCTGATCATGGCTCTAGCCAGCCACCAAATAGTTTAGATTCACCCTCTAAATACTGTCCTTGCATTTCTGGGTTACCTCGTTCCTCTGTTATGTCCTTCAAATGCAGCATCGCTGATTTCATTATACAAGTCCGTCTGACAGTTCATCTTCCCAAACCACCTCTGACTGCTACGCCTCCCCACACTAAAACTCCCCAAAGTCCCACAGAGGTAAACCCCCACCACACGCCTCACCCGCTTCAAGCACATCTTCAGAGTTCACCTCCACCACCACCACAATCGGCTTTTGGGTATTTTCCTTACTCTGGAGAGAAGCCTGCACCCAATGGCTATCCTCCATAAGTTCCCCATTCCCCCGGCCCCCGGCCACCCGGCATCTGTGTTTCTCTCTCTAGATCTTGCCTTTTCTGGACATTTCATATCAACAGATATTTTTTAAATCAATGGACCCATAATTTGTGGCCTTTGTTTTTTTTATTACTTTGGTATATTTTCCCTCCCTGGTTGTGGGGCTTGAACTCAGGGCCTGGGTGTTTTTCCTGAGCTCTTTTGCCTAAGGGGAATGCTCTACCACTCTGAGCTACAACACTGCATGAGTTTTCTGGTGATTAATTGGAGATAGAGTCTCATGGACTTTTCCTGCCTGGGCTGACTTTGAACCATGATCCTCAGATCTCAGCCTCCTGAATAGCTAGGATTACAGATGTGAGACACCAGTACCTGGCTCTTCCCTCCCCCCCCCCCGCCCCTCCACCAGTGCTGACTCTGACTCTGAGCACTCTCCCTTAGCATTTTTTCAGCTTGCTTGCTTGCTTTTTTTCCTTTTCCTTCCCTCCCTCCCTTCTTCCTTCCTTCTTTCCCTCCCTCCCTCCCTTTCTTTTTCTTTCTTTTTTTCTTTCTTTCTTTCTCTTTCTTTCTTTTTCTTTCTCTCCTTCCTTCTTTCTTTCTTTCTCTCTCTCTCTTTCTTTCTTTCTTTCCTTCCTTCCTTCTTTCTTTCGTCAACAAAACTTAAACTTTGTATCTGATGCTTGTTGGCTGGTTTTCTACCAACAGAGCCATGCCTCCAACCCCTTCCTTAGCTTCTTTGCTCAAAGCTGGTGCTCTACGACTTGAGCCACCGCTCTACTTGGACTTTTTGCTGGTAAACTTGCCAACTGGTTTTAATTTTGTTAATTTCATGGTGCTAGAGATTAGAACCCAGGGCCTGTGCATAGGAGGCAAATGCTTTACCACTGAGCTATACCCACATCTCTACCAGCTGCTTAAAAAGAACTTTATAGTCTTCTGTGTGTCTATCCTTAGATTTTGTTCCATTTCCTCTCCTTTACTGTTCCATGTTTTTTCATTTTGTTTTGTTTTTTGTTGGTCATGGGACTTGAACTCTGGGTTTGGGCGCTGTCTCTCAGCTCATCAGCTCAAGTTGAGAGCTCTACCCCTTGAGCCACAGCACCACTTCCGGTTTTCTAGTGGTTTATTGGAGATAAGAGTCTCACGGACTTTCCTGCCTGGGCTGGCTTTGAACCTCGAGCCTCAGATCTCAGCCTCCTGAGTAGCTAGGATTACAGGCTTGAGCCACCGGTGCCTGGCTGTTACCTGTTTTTTGATAGATGATTCTTTTCGTTTTTTTTGGTTGGTGGTTATGGCACTTGACCTTGGGACCTGGGCACGGACCCTGAGCTCTTTTGCTCAAGCCACAGCACCACTTCTGGTTTTCTGGTGGTTAATTGGAGATAAGGCTCTCACAGACTTTTCTTGCCCAAGTGGGATTTGATCCTCAGATCTCAGCCTCCTGAGCAGCTAGAATTACAGGCGTGAGCCACCAATGCCGGGCCTAATACTGCTTTTTCCCCTTGAACTTCAAAAGGTGCCTGGAGGTTACAATTGAACATGTCCATCTCAGTGTCCAGTGCTTCCTGTCCAGTCACCCATCATCCTCCCCATCCTGATGCTCCCTCCCCCAGCCTCATTTCCGGAATCACACATGTCCACTGAGTGTCTTGCTCTATTTGTTTCTTGTGTATTGATGTTTATACCCCTGAGATCCACACAGGAGAGAAAAACGTCCTTTGGCTTCCTAAACCTGGCTTATTTCACTTGGTATATTTTTTAGATCTATTCATTTCCCTGCAGATGACATTTCATTCTTCCTAATGGCTGCATACAATTCCATTGTGTGTGTATATGCCATTGAAGGTATATGTATATACACATGTCATTATAAGTATGTATATGCATATAAGTGGTTTGTATACATACATACATATGTACATCACATTTTATTTCTTATTTCTGTATATAGAACATTCCTTAAACAATCCCCTGTCTAATTTTGATGAAGAATCACACACTTTGGTTCATATGTGAATCTTTCTGTCATATGTGAATCATTCTTGTGCCTCAGAGAAAATGCACATAAGAACCTTAAGCTCTGCAACCATGTGTGTTGAAGGCAGACGATCAGCACTGACGTGGCTGCCTTGGAGAAGGCCGTGGAGTGTACCGTGTGTGGCCAGTCAGCCCTGGTCACTGACTCCCTCCTGTGTAGAGGAGGGGTGAGCGGTACCTGCCACAGAGGACCCTGCGTGCAGTGGCTCGTGGCAGGTGCTCAGGGGCGTGTGTTCCTCGTGCCAGGCTCTGTGTCCAGTACTCTGACGTGTCTTTTCACCGTCATGAGAGCCGAGTGTTTGCCCGCTGTCTCCTGGATGTTTTAAGTGTGTCTAATTGGGGCGCATCGTTCCTCTGCCCTCCCTGGTTTGCTCTTTACACTGTCTTCCAGCTCTGTAAACCAGCCCCCCAGCCCCTGTCCTATGGCTTGGGCCCCAGTTTAAGGACCTCTCATCTATTATGTTGGTACTGGGGCTTGAACTCAGGGCCTGGGCACTGTCCTTTTTTGTTCAAGGCTAGTGTTCTACCACTTGAGCCACAGCTGCACTTCCAGCTTTTTGCTGACTGATTGAAGATGAGTCTCACGGGCATTCCTGCCTAGGCTGACTTTGAACCTTAATCCTCAGATCTCAGCCTCCTGAATAGCTAGGAGTATAGGTGTGAGCCACTGCTACCAGGCTCTCTGTATTTTTGTTGTTGTTGTTGTTGTTGGTTGTGGGGCCTGACCTCTGGGCCTGGGCGCTGTCCCTCAGCTGTTCAGCTAAAGGCTAGTGCTCTACCACTTGAGCCACAGCACCACTGCCGGCTTTTTCTGCTTATGTGGTACTGAGGAATCGAACCCAGGGCCCCATGCATGCGAGGCAAACACTGTACCACTGAGCCACCTTCCCAGCCCTCTCTGTATTTTTAGAGGTAAGGAGTTTGGTCAGGACACAGCAGTCAGTCTCCGCGCCCTGCCTCCATCCCCACTGTGTCATTGTGGCCTCTTCCGGTTCTGAGCATGCTGGACCTGCTGCGGCCCGGTGCCCAGGGCCGGAGGGCAGTGCAGTCCGGCCTTTGCTGGGACTAGAAATTTCTCACACATTCCTGGACGGATCCAAGACTTGTCACTTTCCCTTAGAGCAGTTCTCAGTGAAGGGAGGGGATCCAGGACGCCCCTCTGCCCTGGGCACGTGGAGGATTATTCTGGCATGCTCCTTGTCTTGGGCTGAGGAAGGAGGGCCACTAGCATGGGTGTGGGGTGGGGGTCCTGGCACACCTTGGGGCTTGGGGACCCTCCTGACTCTCCCCCCACCCCCCCAGGCCGCACCAGCTTCTACGAGGAGTACGGCGTCATCCGGGACACTCTGCAGAATCACCTGACGGAGCTCCTCATGCTCATCGCCATGGAGCTGCCTAGCGACATTGGCAGCTCGGCTGCGGTGCTGGAGCATAAGCTGCAGGCCTTCCGCGCCCTGCGGGGCCTGCAGAAGGGCAGCGCCGTCCTGGGCCAGTACCAGACCTACAGCGGGCAGGTGCGGCAGGAGCTGCAGAAGCCGGGCAGCTTCCACAGCCTGACGCCAACCTTCGCAGGTGCGCTGCCGGGGGCCGGAGGGTGCTGGGGGTGCGGTGACCTTCCTCTATCCGGCCACCTGCCAGCTTGGAGCAGGGGGCCATCTGCTGGTGCTTCCTGGGCTAAGGGCGTCTTGGCGGCAGTCTGTGCACATCCGCCTCCATTCGGGCCTGGTTCCAAAAGCCTCCGAGGGCTGACAAGCACAGCCCTTGCGGGCATGGGTGGGCATGCGTCTGGCTTCCCGATGCAAACCTCTGCCAGCTCCCAGCCTGAGGTGCTTCCTGCCGACACTGCACTGGGCAGTGGTGCCTGCCAGAGCCATGGCTCCTGGGGCTCGCACTTTGGGGGAGAGGGTCTGCTCTGGCCGGCTGTGAGGACTGTCAGTGGAGCAGCAGTGGCTCTCAGAGTGGGTACCAGATGCTGGGCACTCTGCCTTGGTTTCCTTCCATCCTCACACAGACCCCCAGCAGCTGATTGCAGCTCCATGATGGCTTGGAGGTGGGTGTGGGGCGTGTCAGTGGGCTTTTCTTGCCAGGACATACAGACCACAGGCATGCACACACAGCCCTTCCCAGACAAATGTACACACACGCAGCCCTGCCCAGACACACATGCACACACATCCCTGCCGGGACACACACGCACATGTATCCCTGCTTGGACACACGTGCACACACAGCTCTGCCCAGACACACGCACACGCAGCCCTGCCCAGACACCCGTGCACACATCCCTGCCTGAACATGTGCATATGCATCCCTGCCCGGACACACATGCACACACATCCCTGCCCGGACACACATGCACACACATCCCTGCCCAGACACACGTGCACACACAACCCTGACTGGACACAAGTGCACACACATCCCTTCCTGGACACACGTGCACACGCAGCCCTGCCAGGACACACGTGCACACACATCCCTGCCTGGACACACG